CGCCCCCTCGAAGGGGGCCTGGACTCCGTATTAGGGTTTAGGGTTTAGGGTTTAGGGTTTAGGGTTTACCGTTTCTGAGTAAGGGTTTATTGACGTGGCGGTGGAGGAAGAAATGAATCGGAAGATTCCACTTGCGCCAATACTCTCCAAACGACGACGCGTTCCACCAGTCCTGCACGCAAACCCTAAACCCTAAACCCTAAACCCTAAACCCTAAACCCTAAACCCTCGGCCCTGAATGCGGGGCCAAGAAGTCCTCCTCGAGCGTTTCAGGACAGCTGCAGCGCGGGCGCCCCTGGAGCGCCAAGCCCTAAACCCCAAGCCCCAAACCCCAAACGCTAAACCCTAAACCCTAAACCCTAAACCCTAAACCCTAAACCCTAAACCCTCACGAGGTAAAACTCTCTGTCACCAAACCGCGTTATTTCTGCCAAGATATTACACCAGTGGTGGAAGAGGCCGATGAACATCAGCAGCCAAACGTACAGGTTCGGGATGGACAAGCGCACCATCTGCACGCAAACCCTAAATCAGGGTTTAGGGTTTAGGGCCTAGGGTTTAGGGCCTGCAGCTCGCGGTTTCGGGCCTGGGACATGGGGTTTAGGGTTTAGGGTTTAGGCTTGCGCCTAGCGTTCAAAGCATAGTACCAAGGGTTTACAGCCTAGGGCCCAGGGTTTAGGGGTGGAGCTCAGGGTTTAGGGTTTAGGGTTTAGGGTTTAGGGTTTACCTGTCTAAAGAAATGAGAGACAAGAACAGATAAAGGAATCGACTGCAGCTCCGTTATCGAAAAGGAGTCGCGAACAACAACCCAAATGTACTGGTCGATTACAATCCTGAACAAACCCTAAACCCTAAACCCTAAACCCTAGCCACAAGCCCTGGACCCTAAACCCTAAACCCTTGCTCTTCTGCCAGTGGCTTCCCTTGGGATAAACTGATATGCAGGAAGAAAATATTGAGCAGAACACGCTGGACCAAGGCAACAAACGAGGGTTTAGGGTTTAGGGTTTAGGGTTTAGGCTGGGTCAGGGTTTAGGGTTTAGGGTTTAGGGTTTAGGGTTTACGCTGGGTCTATCCTTGTCCCCTGGATTCAGCCACGGGCAACTCACTATGCCCTTCAGGCCCCACCCGTGAACCACAAACCCCAGGCCCCAAACCCTAAACCCTAAACCCTAAACCCCGAAACCTAAACCCTAAACCCTAAACCCTAAACCCTAAACCCTAAACCCTACTTCATCATGGCGAGGCAGACAGCAGACTCTGCTGCGTGTCGCAGCACCGAAAGCCACCGAACGCAGGGGGTGAAGGGATACTGGAACTGCAGACACAAAGACGAGGGTTTAGGGTTTAGGGTTTAGGGTTTAGGGTTTAGAGTTGGGGTTTGAAACAACTGTTCGAAATGGGGGTTTGGGGCCCACAGAAAGGCTCGGAACTCCACAACCCGAAACCCTAAACCCTAAACCCTAAACCCTAAATCCCACACCCCAAAACCCCAAACCCCAAACCCTAAACCCTAAACCCTAAACCCTAAACCCTAAACCCTAAACCCTAAACCCTAAACCCTACTTGGAAGCACATTGTTGGCAAAACAATAAATCTGTACACGTGGGCCAAAGTGATGCTGTGGGGGTAGCGCGCCGCAGCTCGAGCTTCCTGCAGCGACACAAAACCCTAAACCCTAAACCCTAAACCCTAAACCCTAAACCCTAAACCCTAAACCCTAAACCCTGGACAACAGGCATAAGAAGCGCAGGCTGCCAAGCGCAAGCAATTGCTGGCAAACCCTAAACACTAAACCCTAGACCCGGGGCCACCAGCCAAACCCTAAACCCTAAACCCTAAACCCTAAACCCTAAACCCGAAACTGACTTCTTCGCGGTCGCTGCACAGCGCAAGGAAGTCCTCACCCCGCCTGCAGCAGCAGCAAACAGTCGCAGAATCTGGGGTTTAGGGTTTGGGGTTTAGGGTTTAGGGTTTAGGGTTTAGAAGACATCTGCAGCAAATCATTTAGCTGCCAGTAGAGGGTTTGGTGTCTGCTGTCGTGCTGCGACCTGCGCCACCGCACTGGCTGCCGTTGCTGCTGCAGCAGCTGCTGCTGCTGCTGCAGCACCTGCTGCTGCTGCTGCAGCTGCTGCTGCTGCAGCAACTGCTGCTGCTGCTGCTGCAACTGTTGCTGCTGCTGCTTACAGCATGGCCCGTCGGGTGTCTAGACAGGTGTGGTGCATTGAAAAAAGTTTGAAGCACCAAACGATGGAAAACGCCAGCAGCAAAGAGCCCACCACTGCAGCACAAACATATGACATCTGCTGCTGCTGCTGCTGCTGCTGCTGCTGCTGCTGCGGGGGGGAAGCTCACGCTGCTGCGTACTACGCTGCGGGCTGCGGTGAAAGCACTCCAGCAACAGCAACAGCAGCGTCAGCAGCAGCAGCAGCAACAACAGCAGCAGCGTCAGCAGCAGCAGCAGCAGCAGCAGCAGCAGCAGCAGCAGCAGCAGCAGCAG